CCGATGAAACTTTATCGATACAAGTCCTTTCTTAAATAACACTGGTTTATTCTTTCTGAATACAACTTTGCAATACACTTAATTTCCACAGTCGCGCTATAACAAACGCTATAACTCACAACGAACGTCTCACGTGCTCGACTCAACTGTCAATTACACATTGTAGCCGTCACTTCTTGGCGGCTTATATATAGAAGACTACCTCATATCTAGTAGCCTCTCGAGACTTCAGGAAGGGACGTGAACGTTCGAGAATATGACGTGTTACCAGAGTCACGTGACCCCCGCTGTCGTAACAATATCATTACATTTTTATAGTTTCTATTTACACAATGTTTTTCTTTGTAGAATACCAGATAATACTGGTATACATGATTATTTTTCAGCTCAGTGATTTAGAGTTATCTTTAACATACTCTAGGCTAATCTTATTTATGATATTGAATACTCAGAATAGTGAATTTGATTGACATCATACTCATGTAATGTGTCTACTGTTGAGTGAATTCTTTTGTATTATTTGAAGAAGAAAAAAGAATGCACATTCAGTCTACTTAGTCATAAAACAAGCATGTTACTTATTCAACTACAAGTTCTATGGTATTACATAACTAGCGATACGCCTAACTTCACAAATAAACGACATTTAAATATAAGTTTCACTTATTTGCTAATGGTGTATCTCTGTGTATTTCGCCACAGACACAAATTCAAAATTTATAGCAATGAACTAACTGGCTGACAGCAGTAGATGGAATGGCTAAATAATGAACTGACTAACTCGCCATATATAATTAGCTCAAAGTACCCTAAGATTTTAGAAAAAAAATGTAGACCTTAAGTTTAACGCTTATTACATGACATCAATTCTCCCTTTGATCAAACAGCAATACAAACGTCTAAAATAAAAACATAGTCTACAACAATACTTAAGGCTAGTGATGATCAATATTGTTACGACAGCGGAAGTCACGCAACGCTGGGAGCATGCGCGCTGGAGTTTCTCGAAGGATCATGAATTTTCCTGGCAACTCTAGTTTGTTCTAGACGCCCTCGTTTTTAGCATAAAAGCCCGGCAAATAAATCCAGCGAAAAATCTAGAATTGCAGAGATAGGCAGATAGATTGAAGATAGAGATAACTGAGTCAAGCGAACAGTAGGCACCTTAAGTAAAGTGTGTGAATCACTGTGATTTTTAGCGTGTGTTATAAAGGTTGTTAAGTTTAAAGTGACTGTGGAAATTAAGTGTATTACAAAGTTTGTGACGAGAAAGAATAAACTAGTTTAATCAAGAAGGGACTTGTATCGCTGAAGTCATTCGGAAAGAATTTTAATCGGAAATTATGAAACAAGCAGATAAGTAACAATATATTCTTGATATTTGTTCCTCTAAAACGATTACTTTCGCACTGGTATTGGTAAGAACATTGTGTCATTAATATAGACATAAATGACGGGGGAAGGGACATGTCCT